CAGGTCTTACAGAAGACTGAACTGAAGCAGAAACTATCAAGGATTTGACTTCCAGAAATTGTTACTGTATTTCTTTTAGGTAAGAGGAGAAACTTCCCTTTGTCTTTATGTCATTATTGCTGGTTAAGATTACATAGGAGATTTTTGTCTTAATGTCTGGTAAATCATGATGAGGTGCATCCTTGGCTTTTAAATGAAATCTAATTGTTTAATATTTACCCTTTTCTATTAGATTTGTACTAAATGTATTCTAGTGGTTACTAGACATTGTATTTACTACAGAATGTAATTTTAAGACACTCATAAAAACACTGCTGCACGCAAATATTTCTGCGGGAAAGTTAAAGATTCGGTAATTTGGTGTCACAACACCAGGGTGTGAGGCACCTGGCAAGTTTTTATGTTGGACAACCGTGAAAATGTAGTTATCTGGAAGAAATAACTTAAAGTTAGAGTTGATAAAGTAAAATATTCAAACAACCCTAAGCCTAATCAAGCTGCTTGCTTCATGAAGCACTTTTGCATCAGGGCTAGTATACTAAAAAACACAAAGGAACTACATGAACATAAAACTGGACAAATGCATTTACAAATCAGGTTCCAGGTCACTGAACAAAAGTTGTTGCCATTGACATATGGTCTCTGGTCTAGAAAGAATAATGTATAATCTTAGTTGGATTTGCAGCAGGCAGATGACAGTATTTTGCAAAACCCATTGCATCGTAAGACCTCACCTCAAAATTGACAGTTTAGTAAAGTAAGAAATATTTAATAGATAAGAGATGCCCGACTGTGATGGCTTTTTCCCCCCAGAACTCTCTCCAAGAGAGGACAAAAGAGTATTAATGGAAAGCCAGCACTACTGCCTTCTTTTGGATAGCGCGCTTCTATTCACTTAGCTATCGGTCAAATGCAGCATGAATAGGCCGCTGCAGTGCAGCTCTCCAGGACGCTACGGAGAGGGAGAGAGATCTATCAGAGAATATCACGTCAGCTGATCTGCCGAGCATAAACGATAGAGGCAGAAGGGCCTAGCGTACTTTCCTTGATACCGTCAGGATGCCATTTGATGGAAACCAGCTGCTCTGTTCATGTTCTTCCTGCTAGGCAGGGCCATGCCGACAGAATGTGCAGACAAGAGCCAAGTGTCTGATGGTTTTATGAATTATTTTGTTTTCAGTAAATTTCACATACTATGTAGAGTGTGAGTATTACAATTAAAATGACAAACTACTATCAACAAATCTCTTTCACTCAGGAAGCTGATTTACACAGACTACATCAGCATTTCAAGCATAGTGTTAAGTCTAGGAAAATAAAAAGATTTTTCAAAGTATTCCTGCCTATTTCACAGGCTGAATATAGATTCACAGTGCTGAATACACCTGTAATACATCTAATAAGTGGGTTATCAAGGTAAGCATTACACACAGCATTGGACCAAGTCTAGAGAAAAGAGGCACGAACGTCGAACTGCCTCGAGCTGGCGGTAAAAGGGAACGTGGGGATTTTTTCACGGGAGGAATAAATCATGAATATTTTAGATGTAGGCTTGCTCCCTGGCCAGATAGCTGTTTGAAGAGCCAGGGATCTGCCTAAGGCGTCCCTTGAGGTGCCCAGTGTCCTAGGAAGCCCAGCTCCACAGGGGCTCTCCCGGCAAAGTCCCAGGCTCCAAAACCTCTGCGCTGCTGCCTCCCTTGGCCTCACAACTCAGCAGGCAGTTGCCCTCTAGTGTGCCTGGGGAAGCCCAAGATGCTGGGAGCCTGGCAGCCCACCAGGTAGCTAGCCAGGTCCTGTATGAAGGCACCTCCAAGCCAGCCTGCCTCTCTGCTTGCTTCTTCGCCAAACTTGCAAGCAAAATGGACATACTACTGCAGAAAGCCTCGATTCCAATGTATCAAGCAGTTTTCTGCCTGCAGATCTCGCCAGAAAGCAGGCGAGCGCCTCTCCTGCCACCTGGCAGGGAGCCACCTCAAAGCAGCAAGGTGTCCTGCTGACAGAGATAAAATCTCTAGGCTGGGCGAGAGCCAGGGGCTTTCTGAAGGGAGAGACACTCCCCGCAGGCCTGGAAATGCCCAGGAACGCTGTCCTTTCTTCCTGAGACAACACAGCTCCACATTATCTTCCAAGCAGGATGCAGTCTGCCCCCAAAAGAGGTCTCTAGATATCACAGTAAATTTTCCTCAAGATGAAGGGCATTTCTATTGTTATTTGCTTTAAGCATTATGAAGAAAAAAGCAAGGCTGGAAAAAGACAATATTTGTGCATTGACCAAAATCAAGACTAGAGAGCAAATGGGAAGTACTCAAAACACAAATCTTTTTTCTGCAGCAAGATCACAAAACAAACAAACAAAAACTATTTGGCAGAAGCACATTTATGATTTTTTTTATGGCGCACTCACAAGAACTGTTGTATTTGGCAATGAATTTAACAGTTACTTGTGTTGTTCAACTTTTTACCTTTAAATTAATTAGCTGCCTGGTTTTATCTGTGTTTCCATGATGCTTTTGCAGGAAAAATGACCAGAGGGTATGTGCACCTCCCATATTTGCACACTGTAAAAATTATCTTTAGAAAAGAAACAGGAAAACCTATCCCCTTTAACTTCACACAGCCCGATACGTTCCCCTAAACGGCAGCACTGAACCACACCTCTGTCATTTTATCTTCCAGGGCCAGAGTCAGACCACGTTTTGTGCACAAATTAAGGAAAAGAGTCCCTACAGCTACAGAAAGTGCCTGGCTCCAGCAGCAGACAACAGCTGCAGTCTGCTCAACTGCGTTTCTGTATCTATCTATGTCTATATCTACATCTATGTCTATCTAATCAGTTTCCTGTCTAGAAAAAAACAGATAGGAAACCCCAGGAGAGTTGATTCATTCTTTCAAATGGACTACCTCCACCTTCCATCAGTATCTTTCTGGATTTTTCCCCCTTCCTCTCCATTTTACATCAATCCTGTTAGAACTGAAACAGCATAAAGCTTAGGATCTAAACCCAGGGAATTTTAGGAAAGTTTTGACCCAGACCAGCATATAAACCTTGAACTCAAATGTGATTTATATTCTATTACTTTCCTTTTTTGATTTTTCTTCTCTGTAGAAGCACCTCACCTTTCCTCTAACCTCCCTAACTAGTTACATAGAAATGCAAGATGTGCTTTATAGGTTCACAAACATTGCTCCACTGAGCCTGACATTCCACTTGATCACTCTCAGCTGCTTCAGAAAATGAGCAGACCACCTGTGCTAAACATCTTCTCCCCCCTGCTGCCTTTGCTTCCCCAAGACCATTGAATGTTGATTTACAACCTGAAGCAAAGGACCCTACCAATTCCTCTGCGTGATCCGAGATTGTGAACATGCTCCCCATTACCTAAGTGCTGAAAGACAAACGAAACAAACCCAGGAATCTAAACTGTCCCAGCAGGAACTCGGCAAACAGACACCTCCTGAGAGCTTCTGGTTCTCCAGAAGATTTATGGCCCTGCCTACAGATCCCCAAAAGATAAAACAGATCAAGCAGATAAACACCACAAAGAGAGCAAGGTTGTATTTGTAAATCCTATTCTGAAATACCCTACATACAAAACTGGTCACTGTAATCCCTACATAAAGTATTCACTAGTTTTATAGTCTGTTTTAAGAAAGGAAACAAAAAAAATTGTTTTAATATTAAGCAATGTTTAACTTTTCATTTTTTGTCCTGTAGCTATTATTTTATATTTTTGCATACTGAGTCTTTTCTTTAAAATTATTCTGTGCAAATTACACAATTAAAAGCATGGCGCCATGTTCTAAACACACTTATTCGACTGTTAATCCCAAGCAACTCTGCTGACCTCAATGGGTATAAACTGGATTTACAGTCAAATACAGCATTTGTCCTGAGGTTCCACTGATTAAGCTTGAGAACCATTTATTTATGACCTTTGCTGAGTACAAAGACATTTTAGACACTGTGTTACATAAACTTATTGGTAGCTACAGCATATGTGACCTCAGTTAGAAACCAATGATGGCAACAATTACAGTTTCTCCTTCTTCAGTGTTGTTTAATATTGCTGGAAACAAAATACAGATTGCCTTTTTTAAAAGCTGTAAATTATTATCTTTGTTTCTAATTCTGTTCTCTCTTTCAAAGAATCATAAAGGTAGATCTAGAAGAAATCTAGTATGTGTCAGAGTTCATCTCCCTGCAAAATATCATAATTTTTCTTTATTTAACATTATTTTCTCCAGCATCCTCTCAGATGTCACAAACAATACAGTTTCTACCGCTTCTCAGGAAACTATTCTATGTTCTTGCCGTGATCTCAGTAAAAATAAGTATGCTGTTCTTGGGATTGTGAAATAACACCTTAGTCCAGAGTAATATCTGATCTGCACAGAAAAACGTAAGAATGGAAGAAAAAAAAGTATCCAAGTCAAGACCAGGCTCTTGACATATGCCTGAGACAATACTACAAAATATCTCAGCAATTTTAGCATTTTGCACTTTCCTCAATATTTTCCCTTTAGAAAGCCCTCTCCATAGTCTCTGTGATGGAACATATCCCTCTCACAACGTCATTCAGTGACGCCACCACCCACTGCAGTATTCCCAACATGTAAGATAGCTCCTCAAACCTGGCTTGTTTTTGACACTATACCTGTACAAAGCATTCACAACAGGAAGCAGTCAGGATTTGGAGGTTTACAATGTCAACATAATTGTACTGGAGTTGTACGTTCAGAAGGAAGTTGTTGAGAACCATAGTACAAGCTCAGTAACACGGGTATAGTGAATGAAGACAAGGAAGATCATGACTTGATACATGCAAATTCATACTGAAAACTCTGATTCTCACGTTCACTTTCTGGTCAGCTATCAGTGGCAATGTTCTAATCTGCACGGAGCAGATATTTTGAAGTTAGGAAGTCCTTTTGGCTACACTGAAAAGGAATTACTACCTTTGTTAAGCTTTCATTCATGCTACTTATTAAGCTTTACTCACCAGAGTAACAATAACAGAGCTCTTCCATCAAAAAGTAGTCCCTCTAAAAAACAAAAAACAGAGCATTAATTTTATTTAATAAAAGTAAAAATTTAGATATTTTTGCAGGAAAGCACCACTGTCCTACACTTAAAAAAAGACCTCTGTTATGTTTCATGGCACCGATTCTCAGTCTGCTGTACCTATGCAGTTGTTTATTAATTTTTATTCTAGTCTCACATTTTGAAAATATGCAATTTGAAAATGTGAATTTCACATTCACATTTTGCACATGCTTTGACTGGATGTGAATGACAATAGAGTGGGGTATCTGACGCTATTGAGTCAGGTATCTGACACTATTTACTGAAGCATCTACGCAACTAGATTTTTAATAAGACACTGCTTTGGCTTCCTCCCCATACAATTTTGTAGGACTTTGTAGGATTGTATTCATGTCTTATCATTACTCACATATAATGCTTACAGACTCATTGAACAAGAAACTATGTCCTCCATGCAAAGGTGAGGCTGGCACTTACACGTTTAGGAGAAATTCAGCCAAGACTCTTCCTCACAAGAGAGCCTCTTTAAAGTCTGTCAAGTTCAGTGTTAATTCAGAGAAAGCCAAGAACTGACCTAAAAAGCTTATGTCTCAGCATTTTTTCTCCTACTGAGTGACAGTAAGGCTGAGCATGCTTTCACTGAGCTGTCATGTAGGTCTGGACTGAGGAAAGGAATGAGTGAGGAGGAGTACATCCATTTTTGTCTAGCAATGGACAGGCAGACTGTGTAATGCACATTACAGTCCTGTTGACCGTGTTAGCAAACGAGTCCAAACACCCTCACACCTCCCAGTTTCCTCCCAAGGCATACAGGGAATAAAGCAGGGTGTTGGTAGATGCCTAGATTTCACCTCAGCATGGAGCTGGCAGGCTCTCCTGGGTCCCACAGTTTAGCCATCAGCTCTAAGAGTCTCTTTCATGCAGAGCAAGTGAGCCCCTTCCCCAAAGTATCCTTTTTTCACCCCAAAGGCCTGGGACAAGCAGTACCACAGGTGAAGAACAAGTCATCCTTATAAACCTTCTATTGCAAATAAAAGTTAGACTTCCTGTTAATCTACAGCTAGTCCGAACTACTTAGGTATAATGCATCGCACATTATCAACTTGATTAAAACTGCATTTGGGATATGTACTACATTACCATCTATCATATTTTAAATAACAGGCAAATAAAAAAAGATGCTAGGTTATGTGATAAAAGCTCGTCTCCACAAGCACAAAGGAGCACAGACGTGGCAGCTGGGGGCACCCACATAATACACTGCCCCAGCTACTCCCAGGCCCAGACACAGGAGAGCTCTCAGCCCACCAAGGGCTCATCCCCACAAGCGCAGAGATGCACAGAAACAGGACGGCAGGCAGGGGACCCCGAATCACCTACTTGGAGAACACACATCCTGTCTGGCTCCTCCGGGGCTGTCCCAGGGCAGCATCAGGCCCGTGGGCCAGGATGAAACCCAGCACCATGGGTCAACGGGAGCAGCTCTCCTGAGCACCTCGCACACTTAGGGGGGTCACCGCCTCAGGGTAAGGGACACAATGGGGGATGCAGGGGAAGAGCATTTCAGGATTGCACAGAACTTACTATGGGGTGTTTAGAGGGGAAACCAAAGGCAGAGAAAGGGAGGTAACTAGGTGATTTGGGGAGAAACAAACATGGGAAACTGGAAGGATATGGGGATAAAAAGGGGCCGGTCACATGTAAATGTGGCCGGTCAGTTCACTTGCCTGGCCATGCCCTGCACCCGGTCAGCAAAGTCTGTCCTATCTTTTAATTAAACTCCTTTTCTCAAGTAGAGAAAAATCGAGCAGACCAGTGAAAAGGACTAGGTCAAATAGAGTCACATTTTCATCAGCGATACCAATTTGAATTGGAAGCCAATAAGGCAAAATATGGCAGCGTATACATCAGGAGGAAGTACAGTGGCAGATACACTGATAGGCATGGTGGTAGCAGGAAATCTGTTCTGTGCAGTTGTTGCCACTGCAGATACAGAGAGTTATCAGGAGAGAATACTAGATTAGGCAGGGCAAGGTTCATCGAGTACTACAGCATCTTTAATTTTTTTTTCTAATCACTTTGTATTTTAACCAAACAGAAGAGCACCGTTCAGAATGCACATGGTTTGTAGTGGTACAGAAAGCAACCGACACTCAGCTTCACCAGCAGCTACTATATTAAAGGCCACATCTTCATTTACATTAAGGTCATTCAGAAGGAGGGAGGAGATTGTATAAATGAAGACCTTCCCCTAAGAGCTCAGTCATGTGTTACTTACTTAAGAAATTACTTGATTATTTGCTCCAAACATAAACATGTTGTCTTTGCCTTGACATATGTTTCTCCATTAATGTCTGATCATTTATGTATCTGCAAGATACCATTATCCCGTGAAAAGACCCATCTCCCTGATGCTACCTTGCAATGATACCAAACAGAGTGTCTGTCTGCCCGTCAGGCTGTCAGACAGCCAGCATTACTTGCAAATAAGTTATTTTAAGACTAGCTCATTCTTAAATAAAGAAGATTTCTACAATTGTGAGGCTATAGAGAAGTAAATAGCCTTTTTCAGAAGAACTCAGAGTGCCACTTGAGTAATGATAGGTTGGTCAAGTGTCACCAGCAGAGATTTCTCCCTGATAATAATGTTCAACCCCCTTCAGTCTTTTTTCCATGACAAAAATAAAATAATTCTACTACAAGTGCAAATGTATTACATACTGTGTGTTTGTACCCCTTCACCTCAGCATTTGCTTTTACCAAGCTAGTTAATTCGGTCTTTACATTTACATGTCACAGGAAACTATTACCCCATGGAACATCCTTTTTCATGGACATGATCTCCTAATTAAACATAGAATTAATTATCTCTGCCTTTACAGCCTTGATTAATTACAAGTTAACCTTTATTTCTCTAGCCTGTCCAATACAAGGAACTGTTTGGTGTGCTTGTTTATTCCACTGAAACTGCTCCTTCTGAACAAGCCTCCCAGTTACAGCTCTCACAGCCTTGGGGAAAGAGGGATGGGCTGTCTTCACAGCATTCCTGACTTCTCATCTCCTGGATTTGCAAATAGCTCCACAAGTCCTGCAAATATGGGAATTTGGGCTGAACAGAGACTAGACTGAAGAAAGATGCCTCTCATCTCATCCACTGCCTTCACAGTTCCTTCCTCAAGCCCCAGCTGAGTGAGTCAAACCTGTGTAAAAGGTCCGTGACACATAAGAAGCAGGCAGTGCTCGGGAAACATGAATGGCAGATTCCTCCCGCCAAAACATACAATACTCCTTCGATGCCATGAAAGAATTGTGCCTCACAATGTGAATTTACAGCCCACAAGCTTAGTCTGCACTAGGCTATTGCATGGTCACTTTGAAAGTACAATAAGTTACAATAACCTGTACTGTATATTAAGAACATCTATAGGGAATATAGCATAAAATAGCTGATAAGCTGTATATTCACACCCTAGCTAAGTATGCACTAAGTTTCATGTAACAGGGCACAAGCTAAGTTATAAAGCATCTGAGTTCCTTTTGTGCTTCAGGGAAAGTGAAAATAAGAACACTAAAAACCAAGGTAGGAACAGGAGGAGGGTACTGCATTCCAGAAATTGGTATGAGGATCAGAGCTCAGCTCTTCTCCCGTCCAGCTTCTTCACCCCACTTTCCTCCGCACAAAAGCTCTGTGTCCTACCCTGTGGTCTGGTGCTGAGCCCCTCTTCCCAGCTTGGTCCCCCTCTTTCCTACCTCTTTAGGGTTTCCCACAGCCCAGTGCTTGCCCTAGCCACAGCCCCAGCAAGCAGTCTGTTTTCCACATGTCTCCTGATTTTCCCTTGAACTGCCCCATGATCACAGTAGAGAAAAAAAGGAATAATCAGTTTAGCCAACTTAATTTAGTCTTTAAGTCTTGTCAAATGCTTTTTCCTCCTGATGCAACTACTGGGAAATTCCAGGAAATCATCAATTAAAACTGAGGAAAGTCAGACTGGACCTTTGGCCTGGCTGGAGATACAGAGAGTGACGAGGCAGGACAGTCCTGGAAAACATCCCCAGCATGCTGCTAAAAGTTTTCAGAACACTATTTTGTCCTAGATTTTAATTCAGGCTATGCAATTTTCCCTGCCTCTCCTTACCAAATCATGGCCATGGGAACTCACACGTTCCTGGTGCTGTGGGAGGAGAGCGAGGTTGCTGCCCCAAGCTGAGACGCCTACCTCCATACAGAGATTATCCACTGCTTGATGTCCCACCAAGGATGTGTGCCCATGCCTAACACCAAGGCTAGGTAACGGGGCCCGATATGGTGAGTGTGGCCCTCATGAATTTGAGCAAACATCTTGTCACATTGGATACAGATGATAAAAGCAAAAAAGACAGTGGTAAGAGCTACAATTACCACCCCTCCCACCCCCCCAGTCCGTGTTATGTTTATTTACCCTGCAAGTTTTTCAAAGCACAAGCTCTCTAGCACCCTGTGTTTGTATAACCTCTTGTTTAGGACAACTTGAGTAGTAGTAACTGGAATACTAATACAGTATTACTCATCCTCATCATCTCCAGCAATACTTGTCACCAAGAAAGTATTTTTTTACATGTGTAAAATAGGTTTATTTATTATTTAGATATATATTGTTTTATTAATATCATATCTATAGAATAAACAAAAGTTTAGTTTTAAATAGTAAAAATAATATAATACACTCTGTTTATTATAGCTGTTATGCTTTCAGAAATATCTATTAGAAACTATAGGAAATAACCACTAGAAATATACACATACATACCAGCACTACTGTCATTCGGGCACACACGTTATGTTTTTTGGAGACTAACTCCCTTTGCTCATATTTTTTCTGCTCAATTTCTGTGATGGGCCTCACTGTCATTTCCCTGAGTCCTCTTCTTCTCCGAATAATCATTCACATTCTTTTCTCTGCTCCCTCATCCCTTCTCATCCTACTTTTATGCCCTTTTGGTGGGGTCACTCCTTCATTTT